CATTCACAGAATGGCACAGAAACTGCCTTTCCATGCACCAAAATGAACTAAAAGGACTTGTGAGCAACTAATCATTTCTATGCATAACTCCATATTATGTATGTAACCCTCGTGTGTGTCTATCAGGTCTTAATCATTTATTGTGTACGTATTTTGAATAACTATTGAATAGTTTATAGGATCACATTCATGTTTAGTATGTGTGTGTTTGAATCTTCTTGCTTCAAACAATTCTTCCAATCAATTCTTTGTCAAATGTATCATATTCTTGTTATAGAAATCATGTCCAAAATTATACTCTGCAAGAGCGGGAAAAACTCGGACCATGTGACTGATAAGATAACATTTGATTTATGAATTGGGAGGCGAAATATACAACCCCCTAGCAAAGACAGCGTCTAATTGGTCAAAACACCATTTGGGATGTGTCCAAAAGCCCAGTTTAAATACTCAGGACACCATCAAATCACGCTCTTTGTTTCAACTCTCTTCCTTCTTGCCTTTTTTGAAGCTTCTTTTCAGTCATCACCTTTTGCGCTCATTGAGCGTGCTCTGGCTTACACGCCAGCTCCTCCAAAACCATGAGGAGAAACGCCACCTAGTCTCATCAAACTTTACTTCTATTTCTTTACTTTAGTTTATTTTATTTTCCGTTGAGAGTTTCGTGTTTCGAGTTAAGTTTTGCCTAACACCGCATCTCTGAGTCCGACCTCGAGTGCCATCTAAAACTTTAACCAGACCACAGCTCCGCGTCGTCAGCCAACGCCCAATCACTGGCTTCCCAAGACTGAACTTCCAGCCAATCAGCGACCGCGGGAAACCCCCCTGTTCTGCAAGGACCACAACAAAGGGACCTCAACGCAAGTACCTCCAGATTCTAGCTGAACTGGTGCATTTAATAAAAATTTTAACCTCATTGAGGAACTCTATGCAAGGGTTAATTAAGTGATTGATGGTTGTTCAGATCTATGCAATTGCACATATTGCTGTAAACTTGGGATTTCACATTTTCATTCTCTTAAACGAATTATTTCCTCACTTTCTCTCTTTCTGCAACTTGTGTGAATGCGTGTGTTTATGTGTTAGATTAGTTTATATGTCTTAGATTTATCCAATAAAGCCTTATTTATATTTAAAAGAGAAGTATCTTGTGTTTTGTGCTTACAAGTTAATGTCTTAAACTGCCGATCTTGTTACTGTGCTAATAAATAGTGTTTTCACTATACTTTGGATATTAATATCCATTGCAGAGTTGATGTTATACGGCTCGTTCAATGAATCGCTGGCCGTCTCAGTGATCAGCCGTAAAACAGTGATTCTGTCCAAATTCCCTTTAAAATCTTAAATGATTCCCTTTGAGCTAAATTGACCTGTTTCCTGTACACATGTTACATGTGAAAAAAAAAGAAATCAAAAGCACAGAGTTGTGTTAGGCTATTTTGATTATTCCATTACAGTCACTTTACAGTCAGTGCTATAATAAAAATAGACTTCCTTGTTGGTGTTACAATTCAAAATTCTACGTCACATTTATTGTCCAGCTACGAATATTTCAGCGAAATGTATATTGTCAGAATTATTGCGCTCCTATTTAATTGAGCTCTGTCTGTTTGGCGCACATGCGCTCGGCGGTGCTCGTTCACTGAAGTTTAGCAGAGAATCCCAAAGCAGAAGGCTCGTGTACTTCTGACAGAAAAATGGAAATATTTCCATGGCTTTCTAACATTTACAGATGGAGAATATACCTGTGAAATGTAAGTTATGCATTCAGGAAGACATCACATCTCAAACACATTAAACAGTGTGAGTAGCCTAGTGTCTCTGTCAGCGGCACATGCAGCCTTTCTTTCTGCATATGATGGGCCGAGCCGCTCAAAATAATATGCAAAAGGAAACTATAAACTATGTCTTACCAGTTTTTAAAGGCCTTAATATGAAGCTTGTCACATGTTTAGAAGAAATTGGACTAAGCACTTTCTCCGCAGCAGCTCAGTCTGTGTCCTCCGCTATATATTCAGATGCGCTCGTATCAAACTACTGTATATCGATTTAAACGGTATTGCCTCATATCAAATCGCTTATAAAGAAAATATCGATATATCGTACAAACTCGATATATCGCCCAGCCCTAGTAGCAGTATGCCATTTAAAAAAAAAAAATCATACCGTGTGCCTAATTCAAACCGGTTTACAGTTTGAACTGGTATGTCGCCCAACACTACAGTAAAACTACTGACACAGACAGAGAGATGGTAGACCGGCACTCTGGGCACACAATAGTGTTCAACCAGGTGAAATCTGAGTGACCTACATAAGTCCCATTGAAGTGGTTTGCTCAGGCTTGCTAAAGGTCTGATTCTTCAGGCTACACATGACGGACAGCTTGTATTGTATCCGTTCCGTCAAGCTTTCTAGAAGGACAAGGCCCTCTCGTCTGCTCACTGAATGATGGAAGATTTAGGTTCATTCCAACAAAATAAAAGCGTGCCAGGCCCGAGGCGCAGGGGACAGGAGGGGAGGGCAGCAGGCAGCCCAGCCTAAAGCATGTTTGGGACTGAGAGGGGTTATTCGCGCGCGACCAAACAAGCTAAACAAACAGCTTAAGGTTACTGAGACAAAATACAATTTGAGTCCAACAACCATAGAAAAGTTCTGATGGTCTCTGAACCAATCACTCCCCTTGTCTCCTGTAAGTTCAGCTTTTATGCTCCAGGAAATAATGTCAAAACACTTCTCTAACTCAACCTTAAATGTGACAAAGGATAACTATGTTGACTCTAAACCCCATATCTTATAGATGCCGCCATTTGCCTTTTTAGCACAAGGATTAACAACAAATTAGCAAACAAATCATCGCTTAATTTATGTTTCAGCATTGATCGTGGCATGCATTTTACTGTCTTCATTCAAATGTAATTGTGTAAGCCTAAAGCAGTTCTGACTGTAATCGTCTGAGTAACAATGAATTAGTATGCCTTGTCTCCAATCCACAATTATGAACTAGCTGATTACTGTGAGAGGAAACACAGTGGCTGCTCCGAATAAATCAATGGCTAAATTTGAGAAAAGCTTTTAATCTACATTTATCTGAAAAACATCATGGGTTTAAAAATGGTTTGCCATCCAACATTAGAAAAACGATTTATTTACATAGTTAACAGTGCGCATGAGTCAGAGCAGTGGCTTAGTGGTTAAATCTCACAAGGGATATACCTGAATACAAAAGCTACAAAAGTCGTTCCACAGACGAAATGAAGTCACACAAGTTTGGAATGACACATTTCATATTTTAGCCAACTTTTTTCCCCTCACAATTCTGCATGTGCATGCAGTCAGGTCACGCATCTTAAAATTCATAAAAAAAAAAAAAGTCAGAATTGCAAGATGTAAAGTCAGAATTGTAAGATGAAAAGTCGCGATTATGTTTTACTTTTTTTCCATAGAGGAAATAAGCTTCTACATAAGGGTGAATAAATAATGATTTTATTTTTAGGTGAACTGTCTCTTTAAAGCCATTGAACAGGCTCCCTACAGCTTTTTTGAAGGTAAAAATACTAAATAATTAAATACTTTACAGCTGAGCATAGCCAGAAAAAAATTATATTCATTAAATAATTTGCCATGACTACCTCCATGATTTTACTATAAGACTTTTTTTTTATTATATTAATTTATTAATACCTTGACATTTATTAATAAGGCCTATAGCTAGTTATTAGCTAAAATGTCACAGATATTTCAGGCTTTCAATGACCATGAGAACCCTAAAAAAGGCAACCGCCTAATGTAATATGCTCAACTATAAGCATAATATGACTGAAGAACCTACTTTTTAGTTTATCGCTGTTTAACATCACTGCTGTGTGAGTGAGGCTGTATTCCCAGGTCTCTTGAGCGACACCTCTATTTCTCTGCTGCAGATAATGGCTCATCCCTCTATATGTTTCTAATACTACTACAGTGAAGATCCTTGTCAATCCGGTAGGTCACCTTGAACATAAATGGGTCTCAGAAATCCTGCACTTGTGCCAAAGTCCTCTGACAGGCCTTGGAATGCACGGTATGGGAAATGGAATAGACTGTTACAAGAGAAAGTAAGCACACACAAGCGCTTGCCATAAAATCCATAATCATTTCCGGTAAAGAAAGCAATTCACTTCAAAAGCTCATTTTTGGGGTGGAACATTGAACTAAGTAAGTGACAATCACACAAAAAGTGTCATATGCAGCAATTTCCCTGTCGCTTTCTCTTCCACAGGGTCCTTTAACTATTCTTTAGTCACCCTGGATAAAATATAACTTCAACCATGTGGATAAACATCATGTGTGCTCCACAGCTCAGAGAAGGCCACTCAAACCCTAAGAGAGCTTTGATTTGCCCAGCAGGATGCAAGTGTTCCTCCCTGTCTTCAGCAGATGAGACAGACGCTTCACACAATCAGAGCAGTTTGATGTCTCCCAACTCAGAGCTGTCCTTTGCACTCAGTAATAGAGTGATGTGAGTGAGTTAGGCAGAGATCACAGCCTTACAGCTGTGCAAAGAAAATCCTTTAACAACCATCAGATAAAACCTCCAAAGACAATAGACTGCGCTATGTATGGCAGACATCGTTAGCAGCTATAGGCACAATGCACGTGCACACACACACGCACACACACGCATACGCACGCATGCACACACACGCATGCACACACACGCACGCACACACAGTGTGTTTACTCTGAGATAGCAGTGTTTATTCAATTTGCACACTAAAAAGCTTGATTGCTTTGATCTGTGGGTAAACACCAAAGGAATATAATGTGGAGCCAATACATTCCTATTTTCAATATCACACTGACCTTAATATCAGCTTTTTGTATTCTTATTTCTCAGACTCATTACTTGGAAGGAAAACCATAAAATGGCATATTAAATAGAACATTAACCCTGGATGCTTGAATGAAATGTAAACAATTCAAACAGGTTTGTATATGTAAATTGCATTTTTGTACCTTACCTTTCCTGAACTTCCTGCTCCAACATCAACAGGCAGAACACTGTTAGGAGAGATAGAGATTTTGTTAAGTAAAATGGAATGAATAAAATAAATAGTGCATAAACTAACAACTTTTATTATGACAAGACCCTCTGCAATACTTGTTTCTGATTGGTCAATCTCCAAGAGTCATTAAGTAGTCGGATATTTCACCACTGTCCATAGAACCATACTTTCACATCTCTCATATCACTCCATGGTTTCTCTTTTCATACCAACAAAAGAATAGCTCATTGGTTACATATTGTGAATCAAAAAGGTTAGTCAACAGGGAAAAACCCCTGTAACTCAGAATGGAGATTAATAATTAATACTGTAATACTAGTACAGTGTCATCTCATTGCTAAGCAAACTGGTTTTCTATTATAACATACTATTTTTCTTAGGAGAAGCTTTGAGCAGTAAGATTTCAAATCAAAATTTAATGTACAAGTAGCAATTTATTTGGCAAGTACCTTATAATAAGTGTTACGCTTCATATTAAGGTCTTGATCACTTTGAATGTGTTTATTTTGTGATGGCTGACTGGCTATACATTGTACCTTACTTAATATTTGATTTCCATATCATACAGTGTGCTCTTGTCGTGAGACTGACTTACTTATATAGTGGATACAAAAGAAAGTAATCAAAATGCATCTTAGAAGACAAGACTAATGAAGCATGGAACTAAAAGGCACCTTGCCGGATATCCAGGGGAGCACTTTAGAAATGAGCACACCCTCCAGAGATCCCAATCATCCCATTTCCATTTGGGCCATTGAGAGAGCAAGATAAACGAGATCCCTGCTGTGAGTCATAGTGCTACTGTCATCCCACTAGCATGCCATAGATATATTTCAACCATCACTGCCTAAGGCACGTCATCTAACAATAGCATCTGCATCTAGCTTTAAAATCATCTCACTGCTATATTTAGAAACTCTCTTTCAAATCCACTATCTGTATGACTAGACTCACTGACCTGAGAATAATTTAGTAAAAGAGTGTGGCCACTGCTGAATTTCAGAGGAAAGCTGAAATATTGCATAAAGTGGAGCTATTACAGTAATGGAAAGAAATGAATTAATTTTCCAAATAATTGTCTAAATTACATTAGGTAAAGGATCATTAAACGGTGTTAGATCTAATTATTTTGTTTCATAATCACCTATTAAAATGAGTGACTCTTAAGGCAGATTTCAGCATGCAGAAGCAAATGGTCTCATTGATTGTTATTTTACCTCCTGACATGCAATCACAAATTGAGACCTTTTTCTACCAAGCATACTGTATATTACAGTACTTTACAAAAATTTTTTTAACAGTCTGTTTATTGAGATGCAACAATATGTAACAGTAATACAACAATATTGTAGTTATATCTTTTTTACATATGAAAGCAAGGGGAAAAAACAATGAAAAACAACAACAACAAAAAAACGTTATTACATTTCTAACAAAAAGAAGGTGAAAGAAAGAGAAGAAAGCAAGTCAACTCGAATCTAAGGAAATCAAAGGTTTTGGCAAGAAAAATCCTGTTCTTTTGGATATCTAAATTGTTCAGAACGCCACAAGATGAAATGGGTAAATTCCTGAGAAAATCAAGTAATCACACGTCTCTTTTAAAGTTGCAGAAGAGCTTTCAACAATATGACTTAAACATTTTTATTACAATTTTTACAAAAGCACATTACAGTATCTGGTCAATGCCATCAACATTAATGTTATAGCTCTGTACTCTCATTGTATTTCAACAATTGTCTCATTTACAGTATGGCTGTCTTCCTGCCATTTATTTCTTGTAAGAAATTTTGGGAGAAACATCTCTGAAAAAGTTCATATTGTACATCACGTTCGGCTCTGTGGCGCTATCAAAACATGGCACTTTTTCAGCCCGACACAGCAACGGTGTAATAGTTTGCAAATCTATTTGGTGATAAAATTCCATTTTGGTGGTGTATGAATGACATACTTTAAATGAATCACAACTAAGAACCTGAGCTCTGAAAGAAAGGGCTCAGGTGAGAACTCCAGCTCTCTAAAAGAAAAACTCTGGTTTCCTTTTGGAAAAACTGTATTGAAGCTTTACCTCAGGGCGTTGCTATTGGCCGAGCTCTCAGCGATCTGTGCACTGGGAATCCATTTGGTCTCATCCACCACAGTCCGTGCGTGAGGCAGCCGCCCCACGTCTTTTATGGTCATCAGCATGTGGCGGGAATTCTTCAAGATCTGCACGGCCTCGTCGTGAGAAATGCTCCGGAAGCTACGTCCATTGACCTCCAGAATCTGATCCCCTACCTACAAAGATGGAGACAGAGAGACACTCCAAATGAGACAAAATGAAACGCAACAATGCCTGGCACAATAGCGCAGGGCCCACGCACCACAGGAACCTGTTTGAAAGAGCTGCCAGCAAATTTACACGTAGAGATTTCAATTACGGCTGATAACTGATAAACAAGCTGTCCCTTCAGCGTGATTTGTACATGAAATCATTTAATCTGTATTGCCAGAGCATTTGCAAAGTGTGGCAGATAGACAGTTATGAATATCATCTGTCCCGTTTCCAAATTCCCTCAGTAACAGACTGACAGGAAGTGAGGGAGTAGACAATAAAGAGAAAGAGGAGCATTCACTGGAAATTATTCAGTTACAAGCTACAAATAAAAGAGCTCAATCTGTTCTCATTAAACCTACTCGGCCATAGCTGAATATTGGTGTGTTCTGCAAATCAATATAATGAGCATAATTCATGAAAAACTCTCAGAACAGTGGGACAACAATCAATGACTATAACACTGTTGTTTTACTGTGTCTAAATCATCTCGAATCTTAATATCTCATGTCATAAATCCATTAACGGGATAGTTTACGCAAATGTTGAAATTCTATCATTATTTACTTACCCTCATGTCACTGCAAACATGTACGCTGTTATTTTTGTAGTGACTTAAAGATGTGGTCACTATAAACAACTGTATGGAAAAAAGCTGAATAAACATCCTTGAAAAATTATCTTCTTTTGTTACATGGGAATAATGTCAATTTTCATGGGTGAGCTATATACAGACGGATGAGGCTGCAATACTGTACATAAGGGTAATGATTCCATTTCAGGGATAAAGCAAGCACTAAACATTATTTATGTAACTGTTCAGTGTACATTTTTTCTGGAGTCTATTGTTTTACAGCATATTTCATGTATTTCAAGGCTGCGATGTATTAAATCTCATCCTGACTTTTTTCATCTAGTCTATAAAATAAATACCCTGCCAGCTTTTGCCTAAGCAAGACACATTCTAAATGATGGATGGATGTTTTGTGAAATGATAGAGGGAGAAAGAACCAAAACAGAAAGGCCCAGGATTTTTACAGTGTGGAGGAAACTGCAAACTGCAAACCAGTGTTCAAATTGAAGAGGAGATTGTCCCCCTTTTAGACCCTCCTTAAAAAAATGTAATTATTGACATAACATGATTTTTGTTTGCCCAACATTTCTTCGATCACTGGTGCAAACCAAACCTTTTCCATTCCTCCTTTTGTTCTCCTCAGCAAAGGAGAAATAATAAAGAGAGATTAGTTATCGATGTGTGTCTGTTTCTTCCTCTCTTCATGCAGTGGAGTCAGCAGCCAGAACGCACTATAACTCACTGGTGTAGAGAGAGAGGGATAGTGAAAGAAAGACAGAGAGAGAGGGTAATTTATAAGCTGCAGGAACTCAAGGATTCTTCATTTACTCACAGAAGGAAAACCACTGGCATTCTTCTACCAAACTTTCTTTACCTTTATCATGCTCTCCAACGCTCCGCATCCCTCTATTCTTTCCTGACTACTCCTCCACCCTCTGCACCATTACACCGTTTTCTCCACCACTCTGTCATCCCTCCATCCCACTCTCCTCTAATAGCCCTCTACATGACTATATACATTATTAATCCTTTGGGGACAATTAACACTAACATTAAACATGTAGCACACAAATGTATGAAAGCAAATGCAGTATTGTTAAACAGCTGAGAGGGCAAAACATTCAAATAAACACAATGAAACATGCATTACCTGTTCGTATGCATTAAACGAATGGACTTAGACCGTTAACAGCACTAAAATATGACAAGCGTGCAATGGAATGTTAACTATACACACCCTGTGTGCATTAAAATGTAATGTATTAAGCCAAATGAAAAAAATATTAAATAACAATAATAATAATTAATAATAATAACAATAATTAATAATAATAATAAATCTTACACCAGCTTAAGTTCTGCTTTAAAATACTTTTTAAAGACTACATCAATAATCAAACATTAAACAGTCACACTTATAAAATAAAGCATAAACACATTTTAAAACACAAAAAGAAAAAAAAATAATTAAAATGTATATAATTATTATAAATCTGGTACTCACCTACTGTATGTGAACTGACTATATACATCCACTAAAAATATATCGACTTAAATAAATTGGATAAAATTACAAAAATGTCTCAGAAAATGCAACAATTCAAACATTTTTTCAGGGCCAGTCTGTGTTATATATAAAGCAACCATGTGTCCATTAAAATCAAACAAGCTTAATCTTGCTTCATCCTCCTTTATGTACTCTAATAAATCCCTATACACAAATGGGATTTTCATGTGTGACTTATTATGAGAGCTTGGGTCTGTCCCAAATCAAGACTGAAACACCTTAAGGAGAAATAATTATGCTGGACTATAGATATGACCCAGATAAGCTCTTGTGAGGCTTCTCACTAGGTCATTTTGTAGCTCTATTTCCATCCTCGGCCGCCTCTGGCTATCTCTTTGTGTTCTCCAGGTGGGTCTAAATTAAACAAATATTAAAAACTCAGACAAAGTTATTATACCGCAGGCAGGCTTCAGGCCCACTCCTTAAATATACAAACACACTGCTCGCACCTTGCACATCCATCTGTCAGCTACAGTTGCACCGGACACCAGCAGTGGTGAGGCACAGATAAATGTGTCTGACGGACGTCCGCCACAGATCCAGGTGAGCCCAGCTTATCTCCGAGGGGAATGGACATTAATTAGGCCCAGTGTTGAGCTACGCAGATGGGACAGATGCCGAGCCATCAGTCAGTTTTACCTCCAGCGCAGCTGAAAGTTTAATCTACATGGCTCTGAGTTCAGCAGACAGGGAAAGGATTTTTGGGAAATGGTGGGGGTGGCTGCTTGAAGGGAAATGTGGTTCAGAAGAAAGGAATTATGGAATGAGTTCAAAGGCCAGGAGTTTTGCCAGAAGCTCTAACTAAAAAAGGGGCTAGTAGGAGGATCCAAATCTTTGTGGAAAATGTGGTCTTCCACAGGAAAGAACACTGCTTTGTACACCACACACACACACACACACACACACACACATATATTAATAGAATAAAAATATTCTATTTCAAACAAATGCTGTTCTGAAATTTCTAATCATCAAAGAATCCTGAAAAAAGTATCCTGGTTTCCACTAAAACATTAAGCAACAACTGTTTTCAACAATGTTGATAAGAAATATTACTTGAGCACCTAATCAGCAAATCAGCCATCATGTGAATAAAGTATACAGTTTAAAATATATTAAAATGCAAAACAGTTATTTTTAATTATAATCATATTTCACAATATTACGTTTTTTACTGTATCAAATAAATACTAGCTAAACATTTCTCTAAAAGTGGGTAGAAAAAAAGATGTGCTGTCAACACAAGTAATTATTTTCCTTCAGGACAGTGACAAAATAAAATTAAACAGTGTCATTTGCTTAAGGATGTCAGGATTCTGGACTGTCTATGTTCTGTTTTGCTCCTGTTTCTTTTCTAGTGTTTCCTTATTTGGTCATGTTCCTGTCCTCGTTTAGTTTGACTGTGTTCCCCTGATTGCCCTGTGTTTAAAAGTCCTAGTCTGTTCAGTTTGTGTTTGTCAGGTCTACTCGTTCTCGACGTGTGTTGCTCAAGCTCCTGTTGTGGATTATTCCCTGTGTTTCTTTGATTAAAGACTGTTAAACGTTTCCTTGTGACTCCAGCGTGTTCCATGAACAGCGTAGCGTGACAGAAGACCTGATCTAAAAACAGTTACCTCCGTGTTTTCTCCTCCGTTTGTTTTCTCGTTTTTCCCAGTATCTTTTTTTTCTGTTGTGTTCCCTGGATGGATGCCCTTCTTCCCCCCGAATACCTCCTCCTCCTGCTGGAGCAGGGGGACAAAGCTCTCGAGGACCATACTAGACTGTTCCAGCTGCTAGCAAGCACCACCAGGTACCCGGACGACGCGCTCTGCGTTCTACGACGCCAGTCTAAACATCGAGTGCAGAGCGCCGTTGTCTGAAGATGGTCCTCGAGAGGATTTCGGCTCGTTTGTGGAGTGGATTCTAGCGAGAAAAGATCCACTCCGGACCCAGAGCCCAGCCCACCATCTCCCCGCTGTGTGGAGCTAAAGCCCGAGCCCACCGTTGACGGAGAGCCATTTCCCGTCGCGATCAGCGAGCCAGCGCAAAGCCGAGCGACTGAGCAGAGGATCGTCAGACCAAGTGCGAGAGCCGGCAACAATGCCCGCCACGAGAGAGAAAGCCGAGTATGGCGCGGCGAAAGTGCCAAAATGAAGGGGAGAGGGCTCCAGTCCCCGAATCCAGTCCAGAGCACCCTCCAGTGCCTGCTCCTAGAAAGCGCCCTCAAGTGTCCGCTCCTCCTGAGCGCCATCCTGTTCCCGTGTTCAGCCTAGAGGGGTCTTCCGATCCAGTTAAGCCCTGAATGCCCGGAGAATCACAAATGCCCGCCCTCCCTCCCGCTCCTGCCTCCTCCACCTCTGTCGTCTGGCAGCCCCTCTGCTCGCCCTCAGCCCATCATCATTACGGTGCGAGCTCCACGGGTCTGCCATCCTCCAGCGTCGCCATGGCTGGAGAATCCCTCGCCTCCGAGGCCCGGACTCCGCCTCGGCCCGTAGACCCAGCGGCTCCACCTCGGCTCCCTCGCCTCCACCGCCACCCGTCGATCCTCCGGCTCCGCCTTGGTCGGGCGTCGACCCGCCATCTCCTCACAACTCCGCCCCTCCGACTGCACCTCGTCACTTCGTCCCACCGTCTCCGTTGGTCCCCTTCCTCCCGCCAGCTCCACCTTGGTCCTCAGTTGCTCCGGCTCCGCCGCGGATCTCCGGATCTCCACCTCCACCTCGGTCACCAGAGCCCTCGGCTCCACCCTGGCCCCCCGGATCCTCGGCATCCCCCTGGCTCGTTGGGTCTCCGCCTTGGGCTCCTCCACCACCTGCTCCGCTGCCGTTTGTCGGCCCCTGGAGTCGGCAGCCATTCCTCCTCCATGGCTCCTTCTTCCGTCGGCTCCACCGTGGGTCGACATTATGGCTGTGGTCTGGGTCCAGCTGGGCTCCTCCTGCTCCGGGCCCCTCCTGTCTCCTCCCTCCTTCGTCGCCTCCCGCTCGTGACTCCAGCGTGTTCCATGAACAGCGTAGCATGACAGAGGACAGTGACAAAATAAAATCTTCTTTAAATTTTAAAAACATGTTGCCTTTTGTAATATGCAAAATATTTTTACAGTAAAATGGGAATATATATATATATATATATAAATCGTCATTGTACTGCAAGTCACGTAAATTCCACATAGGTAAACACACTTCCCCAATAAATCTTTTTATTAAGACACTATTTTATTAAGACACAAAAAACATTTGCCTCGGATTCTCATAGCTTTTTAAATTTTAATTACGCATATCGTTCATGTTAAGTGTGTCTAGCATCCTTTCATTGCTTATTTAGTTCTGCTTCTAGTGTCTATAAGAGAGTTTTTCAGTGGTCTAGACATATTGAAAGTAGACTGGTGTTTAGAGGAGTTCTTGAGTGGAACCTCTGGTCCACTGATGAGAGGTTCATTGAAGAAGCACTAAAACCCAAACAATTATAGAGAGAGCAAAATGAAAAGCCTCTCCAAAAAAGCAAGCAGTCAATCTTTCATCTCCTCATCGCAACCACCGCTCTCCATTAGAGCAGTACGGCAACAGTTGTGCGTCCAACAGAACACTGTTGAGCTAAGTAGATTTATGTGTTCTTGTAATATGGTAAGGTTCAAATCTATCGCAAGGAAAGACTCATGATTATTGGGGCTGATAACTGCAATATGCAATTAAATGGACAAAAGTGGGACCTTTTCCCAGTAATTTCTGGGAAAGCTGCAATATAGAGGTAGAAATTCATAGCATGTGGTATACTGTAAGTGCAGGTGTGTATGCAAGGTTTTTTGTATGTCGAGGTTATGCATGAGCTTTTTTTGTATAAGCTGATAACATCAGCATAAAAGTAGTTTTGACATTTCATAAGTCATATAATAATCACAAACAAATGTTCTCTTACCTCACTGTCTGCTGCCTGCAAGGTGGATCTTCTTTAAAGTAGATACATCTATCGAAGTTGTGGCACAGCAGGTACTACATGTAAAATGTATACACTGAATGCAATGCAAGTAGCTTCAGATAAGTGTTGCATAAATGTTACATAATTATTTTTCCAGTGTGGAATGAGGCGCCTCCCCTCTACTTGTTACAATAAAAAAATAGCAATACATAGTATATATTGGTATACAGTACACTTAGCATATACCAATATATTTCATATATAGCCATTTATACTGTGTACAAATGGTAAAATAGACAGTAAAATATCATTCTATTTTTCAATATTATAAAGATAAATATACTGCTTACAAAATAAAATAAGCTAGTTTTATACTGCACTGATCATGAAAGCAGAATGAAACCATAATGACAACAGTAGGATATATATATATACTACTACTACTGATAATAATAACAATAATACGCTATCTGGGGGTCCATAGACCTGATTTTAAAAACTCTGCTCTAGAGATAAAGCAACAGTGACAAAAAATGTCACGATCAGCTAATGGCTCAACACAGTCCAAACCACTTGCAACTATCCTGAGCTGTGACGTTAGAGACAGCAGACAGGGAAAACATCTCCAACAATCCATTTTGAGCTATTAAGAGCACTCGAAAAGAAATTGGGCACTGGTAAAACATTTACCAGGCCTATAATACAATGAAAAATATCAGAGTATATATAATTGTTGAATGGCAATTAATGGAGAAAGATGCTATCTGCAGCCAAATGGTGTAGCTGCAGCATCTACCACAAAGCTGCAGCTAACACCAAACAGCCATGCTACCCAACCAAACCTTGACTTTGTTGGTCTATAGATGTGTTACCTAGGCTAACCATCTGTCCTCCCTTTCCAAAATGCTCTCGTTTCTGTGTTCAGCTGAGTGATTCTTGTCATTTCAGTGCAGATACACCAGATCTTCTAACACTGCCATCCTGATCCAGAATACATTCTACAAAACCGTCTCAATGTTGTGTTGTCTCACTATCCTGCCAAATTATGATATGAAATGTCTGACTTTTTATCACCAGCACAAGTAAACACCAGCCCTGACATGAGACGATTACAAATCAACCCTTTTGTTAATATTTTCCCATGCAGCAAAGCAGCAAGAATACAAATGAATGGTTGTGGACATGCAGAAGCACGGAGCTGAATTACCAAAAAGGTGACGTAAAATATTTATCTGTCTCTGGTGGGGCAGAGGTAGTTGCTGAAGCCAAATCACTGAATAACTCAAGCACATAAGGTTACAAAGAGAGACAGGGACTGAGGAAGAATAAAATGTAAAATAAACAAAATAAAAACAAAAAGAGTTGATTATTACGAACAAAACAATTCATCTCAACAGATTAAAGCAGACTGATGCTATGATGAAGACTCGCTTGTGATATTTTCCAGAAAGCCTACCCGGCCCATTCTCCGGCTAAATGGAGAAAGAGGAAACATCTTTCATCTTTCTGTCCATGGATTGATGCCAAAATGTTAAGAGCTCGCTCAATCTTTTATGAGGCCAGCTTTGGATTTAGTGCCGCTTTGTTTCTACATCTTCCCATTTGGCAGAGGCCACTTCAACCAATATACTCACACCACAAATTTAATTAGACACACTAAATGCAGTCATGCTGAACCCCAGCAACACTTTTGGCCACTTGCGGCTTTACAAAAAAATTAAATCAGATGTCAACATGTCAGATGTCTGACACAATTTGTGTTTGTTTTAAGCGAAGAGATGAAGAATACTTCCCGTCAAAACACAATGACTTGCAGTTTCAAACATGATTAACTTTCCTGTCAGATGTCAGGTGGCATGTAAATTTTGCACCCAGTAAATGAGCTGTTTTCAACTACATCATTATTGATGAATCACTGACTGACTGATGACTTCTAGCAACCTTATTAACAAATCACTGCACACTGCTCCCATTTAAAAAAGATTTAGACTGAAATAAGGACTTGTCTCATGCAATCGACTCACGTCCAAGTCGAGGCACTAATAATTGTATTAAAGTCAAAGTAGGCTCTCAAATAGGCTAATATTTGCCAGGTTAGTTTCTCAAATTGTGACTCAAGATTTTTTACCTTTAGTCCGCTGTACTCTGCAGCAGACCCTCGGTCCACTCCGGTGATATAAATGCCCAGAGCATACTCAGCACCTCCACGGATCATCAAACCCAGAGATCGCCCATCATCCAGTGAGATATTCACCTGGGGAGAGAACACACACACATTTGTATATTATCATGCTCATTTAACTTGTTTATGTATTCACTAACAAGTCTTCACAACAGAGCAACTCCTAAAGCAATCTAACAGTACAGATCCAATTTATTCTCTAGCTGAGCAATAGGCTCCCTGGGGAAACTTTGGGATTGACAGCTAAGAAAGGGTTGAAAGTGTCAAAAAGTTAAACTTTATACAAATGAGAGGAAAAACAGCTATGACGTCTGCCACAAGTGTTTCAAAACCTGCCGATAATGCTGGAGTCTTTGCTGAATTCAATGCATAAATCACAGCTACATATTTCTAGATTCATCTTAGATTCCAAATTTAGCTTTGCACTCTTTCATTCAGGCACAGCGCCAGAATTTTTTCTCTACCGGTGCTAAGGGGGGGCTAGACCAATATGTGGGGGTGCTAAGATAATTAATGATATTGATGACGTCAGAGTTACTTCATAATGAAATGGGGCTAAACCGGGGCTATTAAAAATTCTGACGGGGCTATAGCCCCCCCTAGCCCCGGTGTAGTGCCGTCACTGCTTTCATTGTCAGTAGACTATGGCTGCAATTAACTTAATGTATAATTTATGCTGTATGTAATAATTTAAATAATTTTCTTCACTTTTTTCCATCTGTAATCTATTGTAATTGGATACATTTATTAGTTTCATTAACTTTAGACACTTTTGGTCATGTGAAAAAGTCTTGTAAAACGCTTTTCACAATGTTACTTACTGTATATATTTATTTTCACTAACAATGTCCACTAGTGAATATAGAGGTATGTCTGGAAAAATTGTTAATTTCATTATCTTCTGAAATAACAAGTACATAAATAAGTAAAGAAATACATGTCATTTATGGGGCATTGTGTTTAACAGCATTTTTTTTTGTGTGTGTGTGGAAATTTATGGAATAATATAACTCGTTTATCTTGCTATGGGTAATTGTATAGCTTGCACTTTAATAAATAGACAGAATTAAATAATATTTTTACACATTTTACATAATTTGACAAATTCTAAGTTATGTTAGTTTAACGTGACCTTCATACAAAAAAAAATAAATAAAAAAAATAAAAAACCTGAAACATTAGTGAATTGAACAAACTCCCCTCACAATGACTGCAATAGGCATGGGTAGATTACCGGTTTCAAGGTATACCGCGATTTGAAAATTTCACGGTTTCAAAACCACTTATATTTTCCGTTATACCATTCCTGCGGTATGCGCTGTTTTTCATGTCTCCTCAAAGACTGAAAGTGTAACACAACCCTCCTCCTCCTGTTGGTGCGAGCGAGCGGTCAGTCACATGTGTGTAGGATGGCAGAACTTAAGGAGCTGCCCCTGGAACTTACGCGATCAGCAACCAGCCGTTTTTGTCTTATTGCAAATTGTCTCTGTTCTGGAATTGCACAAACTGCGTTGCAATGCAATAATTTTCCAAAATGTAATTTATGTGAAAATATGAAGTCCGTAAACACCCGTTAACACAGGTCAGAGACGCTGAAGACAGACGCAAAGAGAAAAATACTGTAGCAGGCAGATCGCTCACTGTTCATGATGCACGAACTATAGGAAGAAAATCCTCAATATTGATTTGGGGGTTTATATGAATGTGTTTCTGAGGGGAACTGACTGTCTTCAGAAAAGTTTACGTGGTATTTTCTTTTTAACTTGTCTCTGAATAGTTCATATAGAGTGGGGGAACTATGAAGTCACTTTGTAGGCAGATCGGCTGTTAGCATCGCACTGGTTCCCTCGACAAAAAGCCAATGGGATTTTTCCATAGACTTTTGGATTATCGCAAAAAATAAGCTCTGTGTTCAACCACAGTTCATGAAATTTACACATTTTGTCCATCAAGATAGTCTTCACAAAATAATATAACTTTTATGAATTTTGAAGCCTAAATAAAAGCGCCTTCAACGTCACCACCACCATGCTTCCCACAACTTTTCAAGCTTATTTTTAACGTGTTCAGTGAAAAGGATTTAATCTGTATATGAATTTTAATCCACGCTACATGAACCTTTTCATATAAACTGGAATAAATACAAAACTAGAATCAAACTAAAACTGAAATGAGACATTAGTAATAAATATTATAGTGAATAAATGAAATAATCATAACTAAAGGACATATGAAAGCACGTAATTCTGTACATTTCGAAATAAGGTTTCTATTCTTAACTGTTTTAAATTCATTTTAAACCTCTTAAATCAATTTGTAATTCATTTTCAGAGTTTTAAATTCCTTGTTTTATTGTTGTGATAATTTTTTTTTATTATCTTTTCATTTATTTTATGTAAAGCACTTTGAATTACCATTGTGTATGAAATGTGCTATATAAATAAACTTGCCTTGCCTTGCCTTGCCTTATGGTACGAACCCAGAGTCTCTAAATCAGCGGGAAAGCAATAAAACGAGCATTTAACCAAAATCCCATTCAAAAAACCCATTGACTCTGGGACGATGGAACCGGAAGTGCTAAAATGCTAACTCACGTCTGGGTTTTTGCCTACAAAGTGGCATCCACCACTCCATTAAAGCAGTGTTTCAGCCATAGACTGTATAAAAACATGGACGTAGTGTCCGTGACGTCACCCGTAGGATTCTGTAGCATTTGGACCAATCAGACACACAACTTTTTGTTATATTTAACAAATAATATCGAACTCCCCATCACCTAACCAAATGGCCAATTACGAGGGTCTATGGACCCTTCCCCCGAAATGCACCTAACACCTCAGAAAAGCAGAACAGGCCTCTGGTTCCATGGTAACCAATGCTGATATCACTGGTTTTATGGCCTAAAAGGAATGCAGGGGATAAACTCCCTCATTTTCCTCATAAGAAAGGCACAAATGCACAGGAGAAACTGACTTTTCTACTAATTAATTCATAGGAAAACCTTCTTTGAATGAACACCCATTTTCTTCAGGCCATTGTGTATATTATTGCTGTGTTGTATTTAATCTGTTGTATTATAGACTATTTTTATTCATGCTTACGATAAACCACTCATTCATATAAGTAACTATTTCATGTCTAGTATCTATGAATTCGCCTTCTTATGATCGAAACAAGCGTGGATATTATATGGTGGTACATAGACAATATATATTAGGGCCAGCGAATTAAAATACCATGCTTACAGACAAAGAGTCATAAAAATCCTCAGTATTTCCAACCTCCCGCTTGGGATTTCAGGATTTCAGCTTGGACCAACCCATCTTGAGAGGCGTGAATCTCTGCAGGCTTTAAAAGACCACACTCCATGTGACCCGCCCAGTCGGTGGTTCAGCTGAGAGTGCATATTACATGCTGATACCTCTGCAACATATTGATGTTCTAAGAATCGGTACTAATTTGTGCCTCAACACTCCAGCGAATTACATATGCAAAATACCATGCTTACAGACAAAGAGTCATAAAAATCCCCAGTATTTCCAACCTCCCGCTTGGGATTTCAGCCTTCCTCATTGGACGAACCCATCTTGAGAGGCGTGAATCTCTGCAGGCTTTAAAAGGCCACACTCCATGTGACCCGCCCTGTTCGGTGGTTCAGTGAGATGCTAAGATGAAGATGTGAGAAATGCTCCAGGATACCAAAGCTCGTGCCAGGCTCCGGCCTAGTCCTTTTCATTCATCAAGTGATTCTGACTCAAACTAGCTCTTTTTCATCAACCAACTTCAGCAAGATCTTGGGGCCGTAAGATCGCATCAGGAATCTTTGTTCATACAGACGTGCAAGTATCAAACTTAGTTGATTTAATTGATGCATTAAGTATCAGTTACACCTTTCTACAAGGTGTGTTTGAACTCAGAATCTGATGTTTCCCTGAAGGCTTTGATCTGTTGAATATACATGCAAAGTGTTCCATAAAATCCATTTTTATGCCTCTTTCTATGCTGAGTTAAACTTTAACCCTTTCCTATACCAACTGTATGTGTGTGTGTGTGTATGTGTATGTTAGACCGGCTTAATGTGTTTATGTAGTATGTTGGACTAGTTTAAGTGTTTATGTAGTTAATAAAACCTTACTTGTATCACACTTGACGTGTTCATTGTTTACTCATAACCGGAGTCAATAATCATGCAGATTTACGTTACAAACTTATAGAATTGTACAGTAAGAAAGTTATTTCCTTTAACCAGGAAATTAACGTTCTTAGAATTGACAAGACGGTTGACCCTGAGTGGTCAGCTAAATATCTACAGTGGATCTAAAATATGAATAGTTAATTATAACTAGTTATGGTTAATTATTCATATTTCCCCATGAGCTGATTCGCTACAATTCCGAAGAGCGTTTTTGAAGCCTAAAGTAGGCGGAGCCGGCCATCGCCATCTTGGCAGCGCGTCACAGGGCGTCACTCCTGCATAATCGAAAATGGGCAAAGAGGCAGAAGCAGGTTGCTGAAACCAAGCCCACCTAGTTCGACGGTGGTGACAGCAGCGGCAATCCACCTGTCACTCAAGTGGCCGCACCCTTAATTATGCAGAACGTTAAGGCTTAATATAATTTAAACGGATGAGTTATAAAAAAATTCACCCCCTCACAGTTGTCATGAAGGGCAAAATTAGCTATATAGACCAAAATCATTTTTTAAACCAGGCTGTAAACATGTTTTTTTCTACTGTAGAGATGGGCATTTTAACATGGGGAGTCTATGGGATTGACTCCCTTTTGCATCCAGCCTCTACCGGCCAGTTGACCAATTACAATTTAAAGGGGTCATATGATGTTGCTAAAAAGAAAATTATTTGGTGTATTTGGTGTAATGAAATGTGTTTATGCATTTTAAGGTTAAAGAAACACATTATTTTCCACATACTGTACATTATTGTTTCTCCTCTATGCCCCGTCTTTCTGAAACGCGTAGATTTTTACAAAGCTCATCGGTCTGAAAAGCAAGGTGTGCTGTGATTGGCCAGCTATCCAGTGCGTTATGATTGGCCGAATACCTTAAGCGTGTGACAGAAAAGTTATGCCCAACCATACTGTGATGATGCCCTGTCAGGCCGGAGCGATGATTCAAAAACATGAAAACCCATTATAAACGATGCATTCGTTGTATCCAGTGGGGACATAATTATGGATTATATTGACTTATACTCTATATAGTCTTTACACTATAATATACTATATAGTCTTTTTACGCGTTGCATGCATTGCGCCGCGTAAACATAAAACCATGTCTGCATTTGTGATCGGAGAAATGACAAACAACAAGCCCTACTCTACACTGCCCAAAAAACTCGCTTTAAATATAAAAAATATAAAATATAAAAACTCTTTAAATATAAAAAACTTACTTACAATCTGTGAGTCAGAACAGCCGGTATTGTAGTCTACTCTACCAGGATCAGGAAACGGTCCTCCATAAAATGTGCTGCACACATATGAATTTTTGGGTTGAAGTGTTCTGGAACAGTGTTGTAAATACAACTTAACCACTGATTTCTAGTCGTGTCCATTTTTGGAAGGCCAAACAAAGTAGTTTCGCTTTCACAACGAAACAGTGTCACACACGGTGGCCTAGAGTGAGCGGCAGCGGCCTACATTGAGCAGAGGCCGGGGGCTAGAGTGAGGAGAGGCCGGCTTGAGTGAGCAGAGGCAGCGGGCTTGACCGGCGGATTCGATGAAGGAGCGTCCGGAGGGCTTGCGGCAAACACATGTGACGACCCCGGGCTGGACTCCGCTTCGTCCACGGTGAAAGCCGATCCGGTGATCCACAGCACAAAGTTGAAGTATTTCCTCAGCAACCAGCACGGATCAGATCTAGGCATGACGAAGCAGATATCATCCTCTTTTGGAAAACCAAACAAAGTAGTTTCGCTTTCACAACGAAGCACACAGCGTCTTCACGACATGGCGGCGGCACCAACAATACTACAGCGAGAATAAAAGTTACGCCTTCTTTCTTTGCGTGAACATTTGGGCGGTGTTATGCAAATCTTCCCACATAGTGAGGTAGATATGTGGGGGCGTGTTAGAACGAACCGTTTTAGGTAGGTGTGACTGACTTAACTTTTATAAAGAATATCTCTTTGGATTTGAGACTTTAGTCTTTGCAACTTTACAGATCTTCTTTATGCACCAAGAGCTTGTAACACTCCAAAGAGAAATTGAAATCGTATCATATGACCCCTTTAAGTCACTTCCTTGTTGGCTTCACGAGAGAGAGCGGGAGGTTGCCGCTTGGTTTCAGCGCAGTGCTGCTTTGTTTACAACGGTAACCAAGGAAACACCGTATCTGGTGTTCCATGAGCGCCTCCTGCTGAGAGTGAATCTGCATCTCATTCAGAGCTTCTTCTGTTTGTTTCGTTCAAGCATGTAGTATAATTTCACAAAGCTAGTCAGAACATTCTGTTTTTGCTTCAAATTGGGTTATTATTAAATCAAATTATGTATATGAAATGATATAACTAAATTATATTAAATTATATAAATGATATGTATATGAATTATATAACTTAAATTAAATAACTGAAATTACAGATTTAAGTTAAATAAAGGTGTCAGCCTTTATTTTTCTTCTTTTTAGGAAACAAATCAAAGAAAAATAAACAAATTCTACTGTTCCTGATATTCTGTATGTTGCTCAAAAACTAAATATATTGTGTTCAGAGGAAAAAAGTTTAAAAAAAAATTTTTTTACCCAGTCATTTAAAAATAAGCTGTAACGACAATACCGTGATACCGTGAAACCGTAATATTTTTGCTTAATGTTATCATACCATCAAAATCTCATATCGGCCCATGCCTAGACTGCATATTGAAATCATTTACAGTACATACTAAATATAGACACACTACTGCACATTTTACAAGCACAGCTTCAAAGTAGCAGATTTCCAGTACTTTAATTGAACATGTATGACACAGTGGATTATTGGTTAGTGGGTGGGATATTTACCCCCTAGTTGAGACTGTGGTTGCACACTTCATTTCGCTCATCAGTTATGGACGCCCCATTACTAAAGGAAAATGCTGAGGCAATGAAGAGGAGGTGACTATAAATTGACTCACCCACCCATCAGGATTCTAGTGATGTTCGACCTGAATGAAATACCAATCAGATTCAAGTCTGGAATGCAGCACAACCAACCACTGCGGCATCTAAACCCTGATGAACATTTACCAACAAATCAATTAAAGCTGTATTTATCACCTCTCTACGGGCTTGACTGTGGGTTTGAGGTGGTTAAGTTTCATCAGTTCTCATTTGTCTTACATCGTTTCATACTAAAACCATGAACAGATTCCCAGAATCCAGATATGATTTTCCTCAGCATTATTCAAACTAACTATGAGGGTACATTCTGTGTCTGTTTGTAGCGTAATGAAGTCATGCATAGTCATGCACACATTTCACAATCCCTCATAGTTTTGTCTGATTGGTTACACTGATGTAATGTACTGCTTAGTGTACTGCAAAGTGTCTCATGACCTTAAATGTCAGCTCTGCAGTAAGCACTAAAATACCAATATTATTAAACACAAATGTACATGTGTAGACACAATTCAGTAAACAAATATCCTTATTCATTCCTCATGCATTACACGTAGTGTGATAAATGGGTAATATGGATTTGGCTAGTTCATCTGAACTCAAATGATAGTTCAAATGGGTCATATCAATCACATTGACATAGAGAACATTTCAGGTGAGCCGGGCCCAAAGCGTGCCTCAAATACTCTTTCAGCAGCCCCACATCTGAGCCAAAACAGCACAGACCCCTGCTAAAGAATCTCTGCAGCTAACATGCTCCACTGCCTCCATCCAAAACAAATAGATCACTGTCAGTGCTTGTAATTAGGGCTACCTTGAGTCATCCATAATCAAATCTGAAGAAACAAACAGTTTTTGTTGTTGAATTAACCACTGTCTGGAGTTTAGACAGTTATTATGAGTGAAAATCTCTGTGTTTGAGTTTATGGCATTATAGGTTTTGCAAGTGAATTTATAGGCAGTTGAAGGAATAGTTCACACAAAAATGAAAATTTTGTTATCATTTACTCACCCTCATGTCGTTCCAACCCTGTATAGGTTTCTTTCTTATATTGAACACAAAAGTATTTTGAAGAACCAAACAGTTGGTGTCCCCATTGACTTTCATAGTACGGAAAGAAATAAGCGACCATCAACTGTTTGATTACCAGCATTCTTCAAAATATCTTCTTTTATGTTAAATTACTTATTTTCACTTTTCTGGCTCTATCCAGTGAGTATTACACATATGTGATGCCACATGGCCAAAAAAAATATTCCATGTGGAAAGGAACCTTTAGAAATGCAATATAAACCTCTGATGATATACATTTTTAAATTTGTGAGTCACTGACAGATGTTGTATTTAGTACATTTAGTGGCAACTGTTTAGGACTTTTCAGACCTTGTCGGCAGTGTTGTGATTGGTGACTGCTGTCCTTTGGGCATTTTTAGCTGAAGAGGCAGAATATGGGATGAAGGTATGAGAGGGCATAGTGGGGAAAGCTGATGTGTGTGTGTGTGTGCGTTAATGCACCTACAGAGAAAAAAAACCCTGCAGAGCTGGTTTGCAGTTAGCAGAGAGAAATCACTAAGGCATTACTATCATTTCTACACTCGTTAGAGCTGTCATTTTAAATATGAATAAACTGAGTGACACAACACATAGAGGGAAAAGCCACAGATGTTTAGCATTTTACAACATCACCCTGAATTTTAAATTGCTTACATTCCACTCAATCTGTCAACATGAGCGCTCGTTTTCACTCACCTTCTTCTCAGCACCCTCGTGCCGAATGTGTGTGTGGCCATGTTGCTGAATGTCCGAGTGTCTTCCTCCTGAGCCATGCTGCTCCAGCAAGTCTGGTGGTGGGGACACACTGCGGCCCTGAGGGTCCACCCATGTGTACACATGATTGGTCACGTAACCACCTGGGATCCGTCCCATAGAACAGACCGACATGGAGAGCTTCTTAGAGCCTTTCAATACCTGTGAAGAGAAAACAGATGGATGAGGACAAGAAAGGAGGGAACAAGAATGTAGAATGAAGAGGAAATTAATAAATAAATGATTGTCCCTCTCTAAAAGTTATTTCTGTTTCAACATTAGAGATTTAATAACACCTCAAAATAAAAACCTCAAAATATAAAAATAAAAGCTAATTTAAAATATTAATAAATACTAATAGCATATAAATAATACCAAAGTAACACTGGCTAATACTAGATTCAAATCTATAAGATAGGATAATAAATAATTTTAATTATAATAAAATAACAATACAAACAATACAAATAAAAAATATATAAATCATTTATAGATTGATTTTATTGAAAAGGGTAAACACTTCACCAAAATTCAGTTATAATGTCTGATGAAAATTCAAAGACCCATAAAATGTTTACGTGAGCAGAAATTACACACTATAGCTTTAATACGAAAGGTGGGTTGTATACCTCAGCTGTAATTTTCTCCTCCTCAAGACTGCACAGTGATTTGACCTACTGTAGAAGTGTTTCTGCGTTCATGGCCTGCAAGAGCCAAACAAGTCCAATAAAAGATCTTACTGACTCTAGTGCAGGTCTCTTGTGGATTGCCTCAAGTCATGTAAATCAGTCCCACCACCTCCCTGTACTGCTATCATCTCTAGAAATGTCCACAGACATCCATCTCTGACATTTAATATGCTTTATAGGGACAGAGCCAGACGTCTCAGTGGGGTTGGGAGATGTTTTTTCAGTGCGACTGCAGATACAGACACCACCTCCCTGCACTGAGCAGAAGGTTCAGACATAGACCAGATTTTGAAGTCCCTTGGAAAGGTTGGATAAAATCACTTAGAAGTATTTCCAACAGTATTCGCAACTCTGTGTTTGGGCTTTCTCAAAGCAGACAAGAGGAGGACGGGAAGAAAAAGAATAAAGAGAAAGACGGGTATAGAAAGACAGGGTTGCCTGAGTCAGTGCTACAGAGAGAATATGAACAGTAGCCACTGATTGTCCTTGGAGAAGCTCGCTGACACTGACTTCAAATGATCAAGACAAAGAGGAAGCACTACAAAGATTATGAGTAAGAACAATTAGAGACATATGTGAAACATGTTGATCTTCAGAAAGCTTCTCAAAAGCATTCACTGGCATAAATGTATGAGCAGACAGAGCCACGCAAGTGAATGAAATCCCTCTGGCTCGCTCACAGAGAAGCACCCATGTTGGTCATTTACATGGATCTACATAGATTAACATAAATGTTTAATTGGAGCAGAACAACACATTCAGTGTTGCTTTTTCTGGTGCTGCTGTTGCTGCATGAATTATGAACAATGGCATGTGTGTCCTGGTTTAAAACTGCACTCACAAACACTTTTGAGCAAAGGTAGGCAGGGGGCTAAAAATATGAGCACCAAACCTGTGAAACCGCGTGGAGCATTTCATCTGCAGCCACTGAATGGAGCACTTGACCAAATGTGGTCAGCTACATAACAACACCTCAGTGTGCAAAAACAACCGCACGGACAGCTAGCAGCGCTACTGAGCAGATCTCTTACATAACAGACAGTATGTGGGGAGTTTATAGCCGCTGAGTAAGAGAGACGGAATAGGAGAGAGACTCAGTGCTGTGTGGATGTACAGCGGATGAGTCACGTTATTCTATCTTGAGAAAGAGTAAGAGGGTTCAAAATGTATTTACTAAAATAACTGGCTTTTCAGATGTCAGAGATTCATCATTTCATCAAACCTCAAACATCGAACTAGTAAACCTTACTAGAGACATTATAAGGAGAAGAGACTTACTACTCGAATATATTTGAAATAGAAAATAAAGGAGTGCTAAATATGGCAGCTGTAGTAGTCCGACTTACAGCTAAATAAGAAAAGCAATCCTCAATATGGTGACTGTAGGAATGGATGTACTGTCTAACAGCTAAAAGAAGTTTGGTAAAAGTTTGTTTATTCTATAATATGAATGAGCATTAGCTGAATCAAACTGAAAATACTGCTAACACAGCACAACAATTTACAATATAAAAAAATGTTGTCTAAATTTTATTCCCAATTTATGGAAGTGGAACATGATCTTGACAACCAATTTTGGATATTTCAGTGTTTCCCCATTCAAGTAGATTAGAGTGTTTGCATGACTAGATATAGTTACCAAGATGGCCACGCAGTGGACATTTAAAAAAAACTTTTTACATGAAAGTATGCTGGAAAAGAAAAAGATTTCCAGAACAATATTAAGCAGCACAACTGTTTTCAGCATTGAAAATAATAAAACATTTCTTGAGAACCAAACTGGAATGATTTCTGAAGGATCACGTGTCACTGAAGACTGGAGAAATGGCTGCTGAAAATTCAGCCTTGCATCACAGGAATGAATTACGTTTTAAATATATTTTAAATAATAATATTATTAAATTATTAAATATTATCGTAATAATATTTCAAAATATTTCAGTATGCTGTATTTTTTGATCAAATAAATGCAGCCTAGCAAAAAATAAATATACTAAAATGTATTTCAATATATTTATTTCATGCTAAGTCTACTACAAATACATTTACATATTTATGTACTTAATAAAATACCCTGCAATTGTACTTTTAGTAAACTGGTATACTTAAATTTTGCTAAATTGAAACAACTTATTGTGCAGAAGTAGTTCTGAAGTCCAACTAAAGATATACTGAAGTATATTTGATTGCGCTAAAGTGGAACTACTTCAAGTATACTTCTGGTACATTTCAAATATTTAGCATTTAAAGACCAATTTTATTCGAAAACCATACAATCCTCATCAATAGTGACATTAAAACACATTTTAGGCTTAATGTTAAGATAAACTGGTATACTTAAATTTTGCTAAATTGAAACAACTTATTGTGCAGAAGTAGTGCTGAAGTCCAACTAAAGATATACTGAAGTATATTTGATTGCGCTAAAGTGGAACTACTTCAAGTATACTTCTGGTACATTTCAAATATTTAGCATTTAAAGACCAATTTTATTCGAAAACCATACAATCCTCATCAATAGTGACATTAAAACACATTTTAGGCTTAATGTTAAGGAACGTGCATTGTGCACAGATAGTACTCCAAATAAAGTTTAATTATAATTTTTATATCAGCAACATGTCAGTAATTTATTTGAACTAGGCCTATACGTAGTATGAAATAAATGTCTTTACATTTGACTAGGGGAGCATAAAAGATTTATTTTAAAGGGGTCATATGATGCGATTTCATTTTTTTCTTTCTCTTTGGAGTGTTACAAGCTCTAAAACACCATTCACCATTCAAGTAGGTAGGAACTGCTTGAAAATACCTGGAGGCATTACCAAAATGGCCACATCCATGATTTGTCTTAAAGGGACACGCATTCACAGCCTCCCAGAGACAAAACACCTCTTTAAACTAATTCTTCAAACTTCAGCAAGAAAGTAACACTCAAAAAACAAAAAAGAGGGAGACATAGGCAGATAGGAGAGAGAGTGAGAGTGAAAATGAGGGCGTCTGACAGCTTTAGTGAATAAACCATAAGCCAGTGTCTCTTCATAAACCATAAGCCAGTGTCTCTTCGTCACAGAAGCAAAGGACACACCTGACATTTCTGTGCTGAGCCTCAGCAGACATAGCCCTCTTCCGATAAGAACGTGTAACAATCCTATTCCCCGCTCCTACCCGACCAGACGCCAAACTGAGACCTGTGCTGACCTGGATATAATGAGTGGTGACAGAGTCGGCGATGACTAAACAATGGCCTCACAGCCTTTAACACGGATGGGTCTGCTTACTCATTCTAAGCAATGCAAATCTGCCGCCACAGTCGCAAACACTGAAAGCTGACAGTAAATGGATTTTAAAATTAAAATGGTGGAAAGGTTACAACCAAAATGGTCAAGGTTTGACTAGTTAGCATAGAATGTTTGCCCCTGCAGGCAGATTATGTAACTGCACCATTATTGAGCTAAAAGGTATCTTTTTTTAATTGACGTCCATTTACAAATGTCCATTACATTTACTGTTTATTCTGATGAAACAAAATTCGCAATTGTAAGTATATAAATACACACAAATTGCATTGATGTTTTTTTCAGTCTGCCCAATTTTATTCACTGTTCAGGACAGTCACTAATGCAGGGTTTGAAGGGACTACGCATGTCTTGTGCCCCATCAGCCAATCAATATTGTAGTGATGTCATTTTTACCACTAGCTTCAGAGTTATTATGCTGCCTTCAAGTACAGCAGGGAAACTTGTCATAATAAAGCCCAAATCTTAGGTGCATGTCACACATTCAATTTGAAAAGATAACACGTAGCCTAAACAAAACAAGCGAATACTGTATATTGTGAACATTAAACCCAAAAATGACTACATCCGAATTCAAAATGATTCATTTCTATCCGTTATGTACACATGGTATCAAACGTGTTTGTGAAACATGAAGCAAACCATGAAAGACAAGTATCTAACTTTACATCAGGGGTGTATTCCAGAAAGCAAGGTTAACTTACCATCTGCTTAACCCTGAACTCTCGGTGGATTAACCCAAACCTTGCTTACTTGAGTTATGTTGGTTCCAAAAACGAGTCCAGGAGTAAGTTCACTCAACCCAGAGTAAGTTCCTGGTTAACACGCAAGACATTCTCAACAGAGCTATGAATCGATGAGTCACTATGGAAACGAACGCTAAGAAAAAGTGCCAAACTACTTATTTCTTCTTCTTCTGTTCAAAGGCCATTTGCATACTTGGTTTATATCGCCACCTAACTGGTGGTTGTGCAATCATTTTTCTTTTTTTCCGTTTAATCTTTAATCCTTGAGAATAAGAATTATATTGTTTGTTTGATGCTAATTATAGAATAAGTCATATCAGATATGTATTTTTATTACAGAAAATGCCGATCCATGCTGTGTGAGATGATAATAAAAATAAATAAATATAATAAACTAAACATTACCTTGTCATAATAGTGTTTTATAA